TGAGTTTCACTTGTGTTATTCACGGCTCAAGTTCTAACCGTCTACAACTGTACATGAAGCATTGTTCCTTGTAAGGTTCAGTTCTCAACGAAAATTGTTTTGTTCACAGCCCTGGGACTGTGGGTAGAATATGGCGGCAAGCCCTTGTGACATGTACAAAATGTAGCTCTTTGACCTCAGATTCTGCAATACGCTGATCTTTGGAGACCTGTATACACCCTGGTCCAGTTTCATGGTACTGCATGAATACAGGTACCGGTGTAAGACAAACTAGCCCTAATGTACGAAACACAAGTTCTGCAAATGCGGGTACTTCCATGCAAAATTGGACAAGGCTGGAAACTGGGAAAGGTATTAAATCTTTAGAACTAGTGTGCAAGCATCACAACCTCAACTTATGTCGTACAAAATAAAGGGGACAACAGGAACTGTCATTTGTGTGGTTTGCCAGTGAGATGGAATATAGTTAAAGGGAAGATACATGTACAACATTTGCAAACATCAAAAAGCGAAATGATCAAATTATCACGAAATACATTACTGAATTGTTAGGGACTGACAGTCTAAAGCATCCTTTAAAATCGTGGCTCCTGGTGTGCTGACATTTTCAAGAAAAACTGTATTTTTCCAACGCTGGTCGGCCGACCAGCGTTGGAGAAAAAAACTGTTCAAAAACTGTTCTTAATTTTTCATATTTAGTTATTCTGACTTTTCTTTGCAATTGCTCACACACCTGTGAAGGGGTACAAGCCTGCTAGACTGATTCTCTGAACTTACAATTCCCAATTCCCCAAAGTGTATTAATTGCTTTGTTTCATCTTAAGTGGGTTCAGGGAACCAGACTACAAGAATACAATGTATGATAGGTTTTCTTGGTTTTTCCAGCATCTACAAGCCCAAAACATGAAACAAGTCAGTTTAACAATATTTTATATAACATAGGCCTACTAATCCTCCAAATCCATTTATTTCTGAAAATTGCAGCAAAAGCAAATGTTGTATGTACATTCCCTTTAAAACTAGCCCTAATGTAAGAAACACAAGTTCTGTAAATGTGGGCACTTCCATGCAAAAGTGGACAATCTTAACTACTTGTGTACATAGTTTCTGTAAACCTCCGTTATAGCCAACACCAACAACAATAAGTTAGACAATTAAACAACTGGCAAACTTTCAACTGGCAAAGGTGACCTTTGACCTGGATGGTAATCCAGGTCAACATGTAATGCACCTGGTGGCGCTGTTACTGTGTTGTGGTGTTGGCAAACTACAATGTGCAAGCATCACAACTACCTTGTACGTGGTATGTACATATCAAAATAAAGGGAACAACAGGAACTGTCATTTGTGTGGTGTGCCAGTGAGATGAGATATATTTCAAATGTATCTTTTGGTAACACCTTTTTTTTGTGCAAAAATTATGGATAAAAAACTTTAAACATCATAAAAAAATTATTGCCAAACCAAACTTATGTATTTGATTGGACTCTTTTATGTAGTTTAGTGAAGTCTTTAACTTTGCGGGATCTTCAGTACCGTACGTGAAAAATCCACCCTTAAATTTATTTGTAGAACATTAGCACAGAGTTGACCGAAGGCCCCCCCCCCCCCAAACAAAACGTGAGTTACCATAGGATTGCCTAGGGGTTGCTGTAACAAATGACACCCTATGGGGATATACAGTATAGTTGCATAATGATTGTAAGCAAACCTCATACATGTGTACATACATTTGCTGTGCTTACATTCATACAATGTACATGTACCACTAGAACTAGGGGGGTTGAACCGGGTGTAAATTGAGGTGAGGGGTTTTATGATTAAAGGGAAAGGCTCTTCCTCTGACAACCAGGCAAAGGGTAATATTTGACTTTACAGCGGACAAAGACTTTCAACACTGCATGTATAAAAGCAGTAACGACAAATTACGTAGCGTGTTATAAAACAATGATCAATCGGCTCAATAAAAACATTCCACTGGCCTCGAAATTTGATAAATTAAAAAGACAGATTGCATGTTCACGTGTTTTTCCCGTCTAATTCCAATGCACTTTCAAGTATCCTTGTTTTCAGGACTGTTTATAAAAAGGTCAAAGAAATACAAAGTAGACAGCCATGAGAACAAAGAAATTATGTACACCTACATGTACATGTACATGTACACGCATGTTTGTTTATGGTGTAAATCGAGGATTTTCTATTGTTCTTCTTCCCTTTTCCTTTGTTTATACTCCAACTTTTTTTGCAACAGCTTTCATTGGTTTTGTACACATTTTCTGATCGAGGTCGTCCTCGATTTGGTTCCTGTCGATGATATTGCACGTGTACACACACACACAGGAAGTTAGATACATGTACATGTATGTACAGGTAGGGGATAGGGGGGCTGGGGGGGGGGACTAAATAATTCAGTCCAACAATGAACATTTTGATAAAGACGATGTGGGCCAAAATTTTGTAAAATTGCAAGTTGATTTTTGAGGCCTGCAATGAAACATTATCTTTCTGATCGCCCTTTCCTTTTCGAAAAAATAACAAAATGCGGGAAGATCCAACTGTACAAAACACTGTCTGTGTATTTCCTGTTCATCTGATGTATCTACTGAGTACTGGCACATCACATGATTTATGGTCACATGATCCTGATCCAGGCTCCACAAAACTCACTTCCTATTGGGTGCAGATCACTAGTCACATGCTTGAAACGTAACCAAGCATACACACTACATGTAACACACAAGTTTACAGACCTCTGTTTTGCAAGCAGACTGGTTCCCGGACCGTACGTTATCGATACTGATGGGGGAACCTGTTCCTTATCAGCCTACACCAACAGGGGTGTTGTGGATAGAGGGCAGGGTTTTGATTTTCTGAGGGAAATTTTCAAGGTAAAAAAGGATGACGAAGGCAACATAACGCAATAATAAAGATGGTGATCACCACAAGCACTGTGAACGCGCAAAACCATGTTGATTTGCTTGACACCAAAAAATTGCAATGTTACTGTAAGAGACTGTACAAAATTACCCCCCCACCCCAAAAAAAAGGGAATCATTGAAATTAAGAGAAGTCGACTTATATAAGTTTAAGTTGAAAAAGTAATTTTGAAATGATAAAAAACATCCTTGACTCTAATTTGAACAAAACTAAAAAGGAGGCATGTAGATGTGCACTTCACAAATGTTGCCACCGCACCACCCTATGTGTTTACTACCGATAGGACTCAAGAGTCTTGACTGGCAATGACTGATGATGGAAGTGGAACATTTGGACGCCATTTCTTTGGTTGGGTACAAAGTCTATGGACAGTACTCAGTAGTCGAGTGCATTTTGAAAGTATTTTCAGAACAAAACTGAAAATGCTTCGCAGTCCCAGATTCATGTCTTTTCCACATTATTGTGATGGCTAACCTTCAAGGTACATATAGCTTGAGAAACTCAAGCTCCAAAGCTCATCGGGAATTCAACATTTAAAGGGAATATACATCATTTGCTTTTGCTGTAATTTTCAGAAATGGATGGAATTGGGGGGTTGGAAATATAAAGCAAATATAGTTACACTGACTTTTTGGAGGTTTTGGGTTCGAAAATGCTATAAAAACCAAGAAAAACGATCATTTTCCTGTAGTCTGGCTCCCTGACTCCATATAAGAAGAAACAGAGCAGTTTACATACATTGGGGAATTGTAAGGTCAGGGAACCAGTCTAGCTGGCTCGTACCCGTTCATAGGTTTGTAATCGATTGCAAACAAGTGCAATGGTCAATTGGGGCCAGTATTTGAAAAAAAGCCAGTTGTTTCCAACGCTGATCGGCCGATCAGCGTTGGAAATTGATACAAAAATACCACTTTTCTTGAAAATGACAGTATACCAGGTGCCATAATTTTACAGGATGCTTTAGACTGTCATTTACCAACATCCTATTAAGGTATTTCGCAAAAACTTGGTAGTTTTATTTTTCGATGTTTGCAAATGTTGTATATTCCCTTTAACGCTGGAGACAAAACTATGTTGTACATGTATATATATAGCGGATCAAAAATGGCGGAGCCTGTGAAATTTGGTTTCAACACAGCTGTCAAAATCATTCTTTTTTCATATGTTAGTCAGTTTTGTTCTGTTTCAAGTCCATCCTTTGCTTTGTGAATGATTCACAAAGCAAAGCATCGACTTGAAACAGAACAAAACTGCTTAAAATATGAGAAAAACTGAAGATTTTGGCGGCTGTGTTGAGGCCAAATTTCACGGCCCCCACCATTTTTAGACCGCTGGCTACAACGTACATGTACATTAACTTCCAGCTCTAAATGTCAAATCCTGATGAGCTGGAGCTCCTCAAGCTATCTTTAACTTAAGTTAAGGCTTCATTGAGATAATACTATAGGCCTAGGCCCATATGATGAAAAAAAAGTAGCGTTTAGGATTGTAATTGTATAATGTAACATTCTTTCCGAACATATCTGTTTAAAAAAAAACATAATTTAGAAATAGAAAGTCCATACAGAACAAACACCATTAAATATTATTTATAGTCATGCTAGTCCATACCTTGGAATCATCCCATATCCACAATCATGAGACGAATTCCCTGACTGACTTCAAGAAGGATCAACCGCTCAAAAGTTGTGGTCATGTCTTGGCAGAAAATCGGTTCCTTCAGTTAAAATCTGACTTCCTTTATTTGTAGGAGTTTTCAGCATAATTTCACGCAATGATGCAAAACGAAAGATCTGTCTGAATGTCACCAAGGAAGAAGGCATGAAGAACCCTACCCCATTTTCAGAACAACGGGCCCGAATCGTGTATGGGCATGACAAACGCTGAAGAATGCGGGACATGTCTGGACTCGCTTGGCATCTCATGACACACGCTCCAGGCATTTCCAACATGGCGGCGCCCATGAGCTCACACGAGGAATCGACAAACTGTGCGACAACCGGACAGATCCCCCACCCTACTTCGCTTAAATCGGTCCAAAACGTGGACCGTAAAGGACTCACCTCTGTCGAATTTCTTTCCCTCCGGATCGATGTCCTTGACGTCGAAAATGTCTTCGAACAGTACCCCGGACATGTTGTGACTTGTCGATTTGCTACCCGGCTTCTTGTTGATGTACCCGCGTTTCTCGCGATGTCTGGCGCGGATTCGCGAGCGTTTGTTGTTGGGCTGGCTAATTTTGGCCAAGAGAGGGGGCTATTGCAAAAAAAGGTCGCACGGTTTCGAGAAACAGAAGGCCTAATCCCTGATCAAGCCTTTTGGACAGACCGGACTGTATTTATTTTAACATTCGTGATGACAATTTGACTTAAAGGTGGGAATAGAAAGAGAAGGGGTCAAAATAATTATTAAACAACACAATAAAAAATGTTTTGAAATTATTATAATAATAGGCCAAGGAAACAACAAACCGATTGTAATATGCAGTCGGGGGGGGGGGGGGTCGTTATTCCTTCGGCAAATTTGACCAGCAACATTTTAGAACACGCTCTTTGAAAATGGACTTGCCCAAAGTAATATGACCCCCCCCCTCCCCCCCCCCCGAAAAGGCACCTTGCGAATTTTGTCTCAATTAAAATAGGGTCCTTTGAAGGGGTTGTAGCTAGCCCACCACGGCAAGCTCAACCAATTGCTTTGTTTGTTCTCAAGAGCTAGGTTTCGTAATTTCGTTCTCAATTTCCCCTTTATTGGGGCGGGAGGGGGGAGGGATGTACGGGAAGATAAATGAGGGGTAGGCCGAAGCTCCACCTGTCCTAACACTTCCTACTGAGGGCCCCAACGGATCACATGAACGAGCGCAGTTATTCCCGTGCAAACCGAGTGAAAAAAAGTCGAAGTTCACAACACACTGCCAATGCTATGTTCTCTGAATAGCGCCCTCATTTTGATTTTACAGCCGTTGTCATGCAGACAACGACGCAAACATCATTATGAGGAAGAGTTATAGTAAAAACCCGACGGCTGGAGCTTTTACCCGCATGGTCTACATAATAAACAATCTATTAGCGTTTTGTCATGAGGTTGATATAGGTCTGTTGTTTTTATCGTGCCCCTGTTTCAGTCCGATCCCGGCATATTAGTGATACACTCAACCAAAAAAAGAGAACTTTTTTGTCTAACTCAAAAACTACTGAGCACCTCTCGCTCAAATAACGACAAATCAGTACAAAAATTCATTAGCGATCCAGCCATACTCTTTATTTGGCCCAAAACGGTAATAATGTGTACGAATATATGCAATTTATGACAAAATGATACCGAAAACAGTTGCACTTTTGTATACGAGCATGTTGCGGTTCAAACTCACCTTGCAAGTGTACAAAAGTGCAACTTGTTCGGTACCACTTGTCATAAAGTGCATCATTTTGTACACATTATCACTGTTTTCGGCCAAAAAAGAGTATGGCGGGATTGCTAAGGAATTTCTGTACTGATCAGTCGTAATTTGAGCAAGATGTGCCAAGTAGTTTTTGAGTTAGACAAAAAGTATTAAGGGGGGGGGGCTTTCTTTTTTGGTTGAGTGTAGTTTCTCTGTTTGATGTGTAGTTTAAAAAAATGTAACTGTTTTGTCTGCGACGGTGCGTGTACATCACCACTCTGCTTTCTTGTTTCGAATTGAAGGTAAAGCCTGCTTTTCAATTTCCATTATCGGCTGTGTGATACGACGTTGCAAATAAATTAAATTTGAATGCGGCAAATACATCTTGGTTAAATTAATGCATCCAATCTATTATTGGTATTTTTTTTAAGTTGCGTTTAGTGTCAGGCTACGTACAGCGAGCCCAATCGGTTTTGAAAAATGGCAGACATTGTCTGGTCCAGATTAAAAAGTCTTAGGCCCGTCCGCAAGTCGTGAATTCTGTAGAAGATTTCGGCAGGATGCTTTAAACCAGTCTGTCATTTTGTAGTGCGCAACATGGTAATGAACTAGCGGCCAACTGCTAACTGCCACGCATGCAGTGTTCAGGTTTTAGTGGTTCATGTAAACATAGGAGACTTGATTCTTGACTCTAATATCGCTGAAATCTTTATTAAAAAAAAAACTGTGTAAACACCCAATCTCTTCAGCATTTGTAATAGACCTGGTTTCTTCGACCTACAGTAAACAATCAATTAATTTAAAACCAGGCAGTGCATTGTGCCACTTCGTTCTTTTGTCACGTAGCACGAGGAAGGTCTGTGCAGAAGTCGAGAAAGTCGCATCATCAACCGGTGATGCAGGCCGCATGAACTGGCAGAGCAAACATGAGTCCGCAAACAGACAAACAAGGGCATAAAACAAGCTCGACGGACTGAGATCCGACAGCTATTTATTATCTCCCAGAATGAGAGGTGTCACCTTCTAATACACACATGGCATGAGAGGCAATAGTAAAAACAAAATCTCTCTAATTGCACGCAGGAAGATTCGTAAAAAAAGAGCAGTCATCTGTCAAAATGTCCGGAGCCTGCAGCGTGTTGACTGAGCTCATTAGTCGGGCGGGACGGGATCGCGTTTCGGCGGTTGCCTGGCTGCGACGCTCGGGCTTTCCGGAGGATGGCGTGGGCGGTTGTAGATCGGAAGTATGTTCCGTCCTGACGAGATGGGGGAGGGGGGAGGGCTGCTGATGCGAGAGATTACCAACTTGTGTTTAGAGGTGTTGAGCATATTGTTGGGATCATTGAGACTTCTCAGTCACTTTGAGAGAACATGGTCCGAGACCTGGGAATTGGAGACAAAATGGAGGCCATTATCACTTCGTCAATCACGGAGCTACTAAGCAGCTCCTGAGCGGAATTATGCGCTTAGCACAATCACTCAGGAGCTAATTAAAAGCAATGCAGGATTAAAATCAGGTACCTGCCTCAATATGTAAAATTAAGGTGGGCATAATGCGTTAAGCCAGTTTCAGGGGTAGGTACAAAAACTAATAACTAAGCTAAGTTTTTTGGGTCAACATGAATCCCGGAAAACAATCCCGGAAAAGTGTCATTTGACCCTGAACGTATGACCCCGATTCTAGGTCAAATCTGCTGATGTTCTCGGGAGTACAAACTCGGGGACTTATATCACCAAATTGTTAAATGCTATAGATCTAAATTCATCCTCATAAACGTTCACTTTGTACAATTTAAAAAGCCCCTGGTAACCCGAAATCCAGGTTCTATTTGACTTGAAATTTCGGGTCGAATTGACACTTTTCTGGATCACAATAAGTAACATTTACCCCCAAGGTTTCCGTCAAAATGACCCGGAACTTGAGTCAGAGAAGTGTCATTTCAAGATATCATGTTTAAGTTGTATGCCTTCAAGGAACAGGAACACTTTACCGGTAAATACATCTAAGGAATGGCTAAGGAAAGGCCACAGTGAATCAGCCCTCGGACTTATAAGGAAAACCAAATATTATTCCATTCAGTCTTGTATTATTAATATTCAAAACTTAGTGGATAATTCCTAATAAGGCAGGAAAACATGTAAGAACGATGTAACATTGGAATGTCCAGTGAATGTATATATAAACCCAGTGGAATCTAGAATTTAGGCAGAGTGCATCACAGCCAACCGAATAAGCCACATCAGCTCAAGTACAACTTCGTCTCTTATACTGTCTTCCTTTTTCCATATAACCTGCCGGCTTATAGTATATTACTAGAGCCTTAGTAGAACGTGAGACGTTCATTAGCAGTTGTCAAATCTCGGTTTGCGCCAGAGAAGATGTCTTAAAGAGTTTGCCTAATGAATAATGACACGGAGGAATATAATGAGACTAAAATGACATCAACAAAGTACAACGTACAGCGACAGTACAAAACCCACGTCTTGTACAATAATAATTATTGGTTGAGGAGAAGTAAATGGAAAAAGTCATCAATCACAGAAAACACTCGAATTGAGTGATAAGTGAGGTGTAGGCCCTGGTAAGAAAACGGACAGAGATTTATATTCCTCTCATCAGATGCCTCGTTCTTGTCGAGCCACACATCAATTAGATTATGGCAATAATGCAGACAATCAATAATTAATTAGTAATACCGAAGAGACTGGGAACTTGGATTGGCTTGAATTATGCCGGCTCGCAGGCTGGTGGTACGGGTCCGGGTCCAGAAGTTCTGCATAACGTTCGGGGAAACCGTGTATGTCCCCTGCCCCAAAAAGGGAGGTGTGGCTATATTTATTCTGCCTGATTTTCCTATTTTTTGGGGGCAGTGCCAGATGAGGGTTAGACCCCCTAACAGCCCCCATCCCACCCCACCCCCAGATCCACAACTGCATAAAAAGAGGCCAAAACGAATAGCAGGAAAAAACCCAGTCCTGAACAAAATCGATTACAATTTTAGTGCATTCGTCACGACTGCTAATCCGTCTGACACAACATATGATGTATAGTCTCCGAAGAATATTCGCATTGCAATAATTGAACAGGTCTATTATATTCTCGGGTCCGATTAACTGCTCTCTATTATACTGCCTTGATAGTGCTGCGGGCCGTGGGGGATGAAGTCACTGGACGCCATTTTGACGCTCCCTTTGGCCACGTAGCAGCAGCCTATAATTATGCAAATACATAAAATAAAATTAAATATTTGAACAAAGTGTAAGTGAAATAAAACACTGCAAAAGAAGAATAAATAAAAACCTGTTTGATGATCCAAAATGCTTCTTAAACTATTGTAATTCTGTGCTTTTTACAGACGGATCCGTGCTTTGTGGGGCATTTTAGGGAGCTTCAAAATGGCCGTAGCGTGTGTGCAAGGGCGACACGATTGTGTGCACACGCATAGGGCGAAACGCTATTCAGTCATTTTATTAATAGAGATCAGTGGTCTGATTCGACCCACTTGATCCGAACCTGATTTGATCTGACACGTTTTCGGGTCACGATGACACTTATCTTAGTAATTTTCCGGGGCATTTCACCCAGAGTAGTGTCATTTTGACACGGAAAGGTGTTATGTTGACCCCCAAAACGTATTGTTTTCAGCCATAAGAGCGTCAGGTCAATAATGACGCGTGTTTCGGGTGGAATCTGATCTGAATGTTAACGTCCAAAATACAACGGCAGTGATAACAACAACAATGATAATCACAACTGCAACCGCAATAACAACCAAACCGACCCTTGGAAAAAAAACCCAAAAAAGCCCCGGACATCCTTAATGATTATTGTTGAACCAATCAACCGACGATAAA